GCCTCCCAGGTTCAAGTGATTCTCCTGCCTCAACCTCCCCTAGTAGCTGGGACTGCAGGCGCGCACACCATGCCCAGGTAATTTTTGTATTTTTAGTAGAGACGGGGTTTCACCATGTTGGCCAGGGTGGTCTTGAACTCCCGACCTCAGATAATCCGCCCACCTCAGCCTCCCAAAGTGTTGAGATTACAGGCATGAGCCACCATGGCTGGACAGAAGCTTTTTAGACAGGGTCTCACTCTGTTTCCAGGCTGCAGTGCAGTGGCATGGTCTCAGCTCACTGCACCCTCAAACTCCCAGGCTCAATTGGTCCTCCCACCTTAACCCCCCCAAATAACTGTTAGTTTTTGTAGAGAAGGGGTTTCACCATGTTGCCCAGATTGGTCTCAAATTCCTGGGCTCAAGTGATCTGCCTGCCTCAACCTACCAAAGTGCTGAGATTATAGGCATGAGCCACCGCACCCAGCCAGTGTGCAGAAGTTTTGATAAATTTTAACTTGTAGATTTCTGGATTTCTGTATGTTTTATGGTAGTAAATGATAATATAGACTAGTATCTACATATATTTTATACACTTGTAACGTACCATTTTCTGAAGTTTTTTGGTATTTCTAGGCTATGCCGTTCATCTGCAAGTTTTTTCAAACTGCTTGAAATCTCCATAACATCTTCCAATACATTTATTATTGAAAAAAATCCACATACAAGTGGACCTGTGCAGTTCAAATCCATGTTGTTTGGCCGGGCATGGTGGCTCACATCTGTAATCCCAGCACTCTGGGAGGCCGAGGCAGGCAGATCGCCTGAGGTTGGGAGCTCAAGACCAGCCTGGCCAACATGGTGAAACCCTGTCTCTACTAAAAACTACAAAAACCGGTAGCACATGCTTATAATCTCAGCTATGTGGGAGGCTGAGGCTTGACAAGAATCGCTTGAACCTGGGAGGTGGAGGTTGCAATCAACCAAGATCACACCACTCTACTCCAGCCTGGGTGACAGAGCAAGACTCTATCTCAAAAAAGAAAAAAAAAAAAAACCATGTTGTTCAAGGCTCAACTATAAATGTTAGCCAATATTATTGCTGTTGTAGTTAGGCAACTATTCAGTTCTTGCTCTGCCTTGGTATAGCCCTTCACCAAAATTAACATTAAGTTGATAACTGAAAAGTGTTTTACCACCATGAATGACCTAAAACCATGTCTTGTACCTGGCAGCTGCTTCTTTCTTCCCATCTTCCAGTGTCCTCCAATGAATATGATCTCCAAAACCTGGAAGGAAAGAACTTTATAAGCATTCACACAATGAACAAAGGGCACAGTCCCAAGAAGAAAGTGTGCATGTTTACAAGATACCCAATAAGAAGGTTTTCTTCTGTCAAGAGCTTGGTGTTCAAGTCCCAGCTCCACCACCTTCTAGGTGTATGGGACCATACCTCAAGCCTCAGTTTTCATACCTGCAAAATGGAGACACCACCACCTAATTCACAGTTTCAAAGGAGGCTAAATTAAAAAATGACATTAAATGCTTTGTAAACTATCATGGAATATGCTAATAACACTATAAGAATGAATGAGAATTACTCACAGAGTAAACATAAAGCAGGTCATAACAAATCATAACTAATTCAAGGTGATTCAGCAATACAGCTTTAGATTCAGAAAGACCTAGGTCCATGACTCCACTTCCTATTAAGTGTGTGAATTTTTGTGAGTGAAGTAAGCTCTCCAAGTCTCAATTTCTTTCTTATTTTCCCTCTTCATCTATAAAAACAAGACAATAAGACCTACCTCCAAGGGTTAGTATAAGGATTAAATGAAGTTAGTATTTAAAGCTATTGTTATTATTATGCCCACAATTCAGCCAGAGTAATCTATTTTAAACTCTTGAGTATGTTTTGTAGGATAGCACAGAATGGTCTTTCTAAATCATGTTACTCCTGGAAAAAAACAAAAACAAAAAAACATTCAAAGACTTTCCAATGCCCTAAAGATAAAGGTCCAACTCTTGTAGTAGGGTTTCTAAAGCTTTTCAGAATATGGCATCTGCCCACCTCTCCAGCCTCACTTTCCACACTTTTCCTAAAATCTTACACATACACCCTGTCCATTCCTTTTTTTGTTTGTTTTTTTAGATAGAGTCTGTCACCAATGCTAGAATGCAGTGGTGTGATCTTGGCTCACTGCAACCTCTACCTCCCAGGTTCAAGCGATTCTTGTGCCTCTGCCTCCTGAGTAGCTGGAATTAGAGGCGTCTGCCACCACACCTGGCTAATTTTTTTTTTTTTTTTTGGAGATGGAGTTTTACTCTTGTTGCCCAGGCTGGAGTGCAATGGCACGATCTTGGCTCACCACAACCTCCACCTCCCGGGTTAAGTGGTTCTCCTGCCTCAGTCTCCCGAGTAGCTGGGATTACAGGCATGTGCCACCAAGCCTGGTGTATTTTGTATTTTTTGTAAAGATGGGGTTTCTCCATGTTGGTCAGACTGGTCTTGAACTCCCAACCTCAGGTGATCTGCCCGCCTCAGCCTCCCAAACTACTGGGCTTACATGCGTGAGCCACTGCGCCTGGACTGTAATTTTTGCATTTTTAGTAGAGACAGGGTTTTGCCATGTTGGCCAGGCTGGTCTCAAACTCCCAAGCTCAGGTATCCGCCAGCCTCCTCAGCTTTCCAAAGTGCTGGGATTACAGGTGGGAGCCACTGCACCCGGCCCTTTCACTTCTTTAAATGAGAGCAGCATGCACTCTCTCCCCTCTAGGCTTTCACAATCACTACTACCTGTGCAATTCCTTCCATCCCATACCTCCAATTCATTCTTCAGGTATAAGCCTAGAGGGCATTTCTTCTGGTATATCTTCCCTGACTCCCAAAGCACCCTATTCTTGCCCCATCACAGCACTCCCCAGGATGACTTGTAAATGTTTATGTGTCTATCTCTGGACCATATCTGTCTTATTCCTCTCTGTTTCCTTAGCATTTAGTAGTATACATGGTCACACTAAATGCTCCATAAAATATTTTTTGAGCAAATGAATCTTATTTAGATCATCTCACATAATTTTATATCCAAAAATTATTATTGCTAGCTGCTATTTACTGACCACCTTATATGTGCCTGACATATCACATGTGTTATCTCATTTAAATTTGGCCTTATTAATAACCCAGTTTTACTTAATCACTCTATGCTTCAGCTGTCTCATCTTTAAGAGGCATAATAATTATATCTCATAAGGTTACTGAATATCAAATAGAGAATGGCATAAACCCAGAAGGCGGAGCTTGCAGTGAGCTGAGATCCGGCCACTGCACTCCAGCCTGGGTGACAGAACGAGACTCCGTCTAAAAAAAAAAAAAAAAAAGAATGTACAAGACCAAGAATGAACCCAAATGTAAACTAGGAACTTTAGTTAATAATAATATATCAATATAGGTTCATCAGTTGTAACAAATGTACCACATTAGTGCAAGATGTTACTAGAAGTTGGGAGAAGGAGGGAGAGAGGGAAGAACCCTGTATTTTCTGTATTTTCTGCTCAATTTTTCTATAGACATAAAGCTGCTCCAAAAATAAAGTATCAATTTTTTAAAATGCAGTGGACAAGTTAAAACAGCAAATTAGAGGCAGGCAGAGGCATAGATCAGAAAAAGGTATTCAAGATGCAACACAAAGAGATAGGAAATGAAAGTTATGGAGAGGCCAAGAGATATAGAATAGATTGTGAAAGTCTAATACACATAAATTTGGAGTCTCAGAATGAAAGGGTAAAGGAAGAAGACATATTTGAAGGCAGGACATGGTGGCTCACACTTGTAATCCCAGCACTTTGGGAGGCTGAGGCAGACAGATTACTTGAGGCCAGGAGTTCGAGACCAGCCTGGCCAACATGGTGAAAATTCTGCTCTACTAAAAACACAAAAATTAGCCAGGCATGGTGACACACGCCTGTAGTCCCAGCTATTTGGGAGGCTGAGGTACAAGAATCACTTGAGCCCGGGAGGTGGAGGTTGCAGTGAGCTGAGATTGTGCCACCGCACTCCAGCCTGGGCAATAGGGGAAACTGTCTTTTTTTTTTTTTTTTTTTAAAGGCATATTTGAAGAGATAATGGCTCAGCATTTTCAAGAACAAGATAAAACATTAATATGGCCAGGCACAGCGGCTCATACCTATAATGCTAGCATTTTGGGAAGCCAAGGCAGAATGATCACTTGAGTCCAGGAGCTGGAAACCAGCCTGGGCAACACAGAGAGATCTTGTCTCTACAAGAAATTAAAAGTCTGGCACACTGGCATGTGCCCATAGTCTTGGCTACTTGGGAGGCTGAGGCGGAAGGACTGTTTGAGCCCAGGAGTTTGAGGCCGCAGTGAGCAATGATTGTGTCACTGCACTCCTGGGTGGCAGAGAGATCCTGTCTCAAAA